GGGGGAGGGGGTCTGTTAATGATTTAGAGTGAGGTAGAAACTATTTCTTCTTTTCTTCTTATTTCTTCACATAAATAGAGCTCTTCAAACATGATGTGTCAACTAACTTTGACGCTGATTGCATGCATTCTCTTTAACACTGGTGACACAAGTGAAAGCTTCCTAAATCAGAAAGAGATCCAAGAAATCAGACAGTGAAGAAATAATTTCATTTTTCAGTTTGTAGTTTTTCTTCATTTTTGACTGAGTTAGTTTTGAATTGAAAACATTCGGTAATCCAAGATCAATCGTTCAAAGCATACGAAATCCCTAGATAGCTTATATGTTACAATGCACCAATTATCTAACCTTACTAGAAGTTGTCACGTACTTCTTTCCTTCCTTGACGTCCTTTATTTCAAGGTGTTCCAATTTACTCTCATGGCACTGTCCTGTGGAGAGAAAAAGAGACAAGTGTATTATGCATACGTACATACCGAATGATCTTCGTTCTAACTGAATAGAGTTCCACATCTGGATCACACAAAAAGCATTTAGAACTAGCACATTTTCTGCTGACAAATTTGATGTCCCTAAGTCTTACCAAACAAAGTAATAACCAAATTTTATTGTATAACTTACTAAAAACAAAATGTGACTTAGTCAGGAATAACGAAGGTAACTTCGATTACTGGCCTTTTACCTTAGAGTTACACAAGTATGGGGCAAGAGTTCCAAATAATCCCATAAATTAATTATGCATTCAGTCTTTGTTTAATGAAAACAATAGCGAGAACAATAGAACTCCGCAGAGACTAGTAGTCTTTGTTTTGAAAATTTTGATTTTTTTAAAGTCTTTTGAAACAGGGTAAATTCGGCGCGTTTTGGCTTTGCAAAACGAAAATTTAAGACATTTTCCAGAGGTTTTTAATTTTGAAATATAATTAAATAACATTTACAGGAAGGAGAAGAGCAATAAGCAAATAAGCGATAAGTACACTAACGATAAAGTACGAATTTCTTGCGTTGTCAGCGAAGTCACGTCCAAGAAGAACCGTCATGGCGGCTGCCGCTGAATATTTGTTTTACACTGTGCTATGGGTATTACTCTCTTTCTTCTTCCATTTGACTGGGTAAACTGATTTTACAGGGGCCATAACAAGGAAGATGAACACTGTATTATTATCCGAATGTAACATTCCATATGTAGGCTACTAAGTGTACCTGAAGAAAAGTCGTGACAAAGAGAAAAGCACGAATCCCTGACATGGCATCTCAGCGAACCACCTCATCCGATCCAGCATAGGACACACTCGCCGACCTCGATAGAATAGACAATATCCAGGGGAATAGGGTTGAAATGTTTCTTGACTCCATGAAGGCTAAAAAAGACGTTCAAATCTCTTGCAGCTCGTGAGTTCTTTCCACGTGTAAGACTGAATGTAAAATGACATGAATATTAATTTTGAAAATTATTTGTAATTCAAATGAGTTTTGCGACTTTAACAGGCGAGTTCAAAATAATCGACATCGAGTTCTTCGGTCTGATCCGTTCAATTTTAAAAAGAGGTAGGATGCCTCTTTAGGTTATCTGAAATTCTAAGGTTTCTACAGTTATTTCTGGTAAGTTATAGTGAGAACTTTTGCATGCGGTGAATTCTCGTGCATATTAAACTATCCTTAAGGGCTCCATGACGAACTCTTTTTCTTTCCATTTGAGAATTTTTACGCACATTTCCTCTTTCGTTTTATAAACCATTGATTAGAATAGAGCGAATGAGTGAGAGAATCTTAGGCTCTTACTCAACCCACAAAGTATAACCAACGCCATACCATGACAACAGAAACGGAGTGTTCAAATTGGCTGTCTGAATATTTACATCATCTATTGCCACTAATTTTCTGAAGTAATGTAAGTATTATGTATTGAAACCCTATGTATACTGTAATGTTGTGTAATGCAATCTGTTATTAAAAA